GCAAATTATTTAAGTTCTTTGAGCCCCATTTCCCTCATTTTAAATTGGAATACCTACTTACAGGGTGGTTGTGAGGGTTAAATACATTAATCAAGATAAAGGGCTTGGCTCATTGTAGGTACCCAATAAAAGGAAGTTGAAACTCTGAGCTCATAAAGAATCATTTTGCTCCAATATTCTTCTCAGATGCTTGCCTTTTGGCCATTCCATAGCTCATTTGCACTCATCTATTTGGCGGGTTAGGAGGAAAATGAGTCCCAACTCAGCCACGTCTGTCTAATGCAAGTCTGACGTATGCAGCTATGGCATATAATTTTAATTGGTAATTAAATCTGCTGAAAATGATTTGGGGCATAATCTGATTTTCTTTGCCAGACTAACAGTAAGTTCAAGAACTCACCTGAAATCACTGTCTGATGATAATTAGTAAATATCCTATTATAGTTTTAATTTCTGGGGAAAGATATCCAACATCAAAACTCTCATGGACCGAAATATGTTCATTTCAAGCACTGCCCATACAGAATCCACTTAGGCCTCTCTCCAAATAATGGGAAAATTGTTGCCTATTTCCAGACAATTGTTGCAGTCCTGAATCAATGCCGGTTGTCACTCCCATTGCAAGTTAGCACAGGCTTCAGACGAGCCTAGTAGATAAAAGAGGAACTCGTTGAAGACAACAGAGAAATGAGCCGCGGTCTTAACTTGGCAGAACTATTTATTAAAACGGTGATTTAGGAGATTTTTTAAATGCCACTCTTAGTTGTAGATCTCATTTGAGAACTCTAACCCTCGGCTTCAGGAAGGAACATTCTTTAGGACAGCCCTGGCTTGTTCCTGTGGTTCGGTGTAATTATTAATAGTGCCCTCTTTTACTCTCAAGAGTCCCTGTTTGTATAATAAATTCTATGGTCATCCCTTACAGGCCTTTTTCAGAGCAAAGCCCATCTCTTCGAAGATATATTCTTTGCATTAATCTAAGAAAAATTACTTTAGCTTTCCTACAACAGAGTCTTTGGCCCCCTAATTTATAGTCAGTTAAGTATTTCTTCAGAGCAATAATTAAGAGCCACATAAGCTAATGACTTATTCCCTATGGCTCTCTAATTGGTGAAAGCAAATAAGGGAACATCATAGGGACTCATCTAATACAGCATCCCTGGGAGAGAAGCTTGAGGGTTTCACATTTATGTTATTTTCAATCATTTAAACTTCTAATCATTTGTAAATGCAAGAATATGTACTCACATGGGACAGCAAGGGAATGGAAATGTCTGAGAAAGAGAAAGAGAAAGAGAAACCTGACTTTGTGTCTTCTGGAATGCTGTCCATGCTTGAATTCTAGCATTTCATGGTCTCATACACCTTTTGCACTTGAGTCTCCTGCTTTCTGTTCTTCAGGAGAGGGTGTGCTGCAGTTTAGCAACTGCAGGGCAGTAAGATTGTCAAAACATCACCAGAGATGCTCCGAGAGTTACTGTGTAAAACAGGTTTCCATGGTGTGGTGTGGATGCTGGGAGGAGGAGCTCATGGTACAAGCCCAGCCATTCTCCCTGGAAAGAGGGAGAGCCAGCTTGTCCGCATAAAGCCAGGCATCCTTCTGGATAGTCCCAAGAAGTCAGAAGCAGATGGATTCACAGGTTGGGACAGATGGGTTTTTATGAAGCCTTATAATCTGGGGGTAGAAGGAGAACAGGAGAAAAGATGGTCTACCTGTTTGCAAATGCCCTTTCACCTAGACAGCTGTAGCCTGAATCGAGTTTGTATTCTGTCCCCAGCCACCTGGCTTCCTGTTTGCAGCCTAGTTCTGAGAGAAGGAAAGAAGATCAAAGTAAGGCAAAAGAGCACAGAAAGTTTTCCCTCCAAAAAAAATTGTGTTTGGAGAGCCATTCTCTTGGGGGAAAATGTGCAGCAGCTGAGGAGAGAATAGAGCCATGGAAGCAGAAGAGAACTATGGCATGATGTTTGTTTTGAAATGGCTCTTTCACAGATCTCAAATCTCCTAATGATGGGCAGATGGAGTTCAGGTTAGAAAACTGTTTGAGTAATGAAATGGTGCCATGGTGAGGGTGGTTAGAATGGGCTGGGGTGTCACTCCTGGAGGATGTCTAGAAGAGCCAGAATTCTGATATTTTAGTCAAAAGTGCTCCCCAGAGGCCTTGCAACCCAACTCCCTCATTTTACTCAGAAGATTTTCAGGTTCAGACACCTTGAATGAACTTTACAAAGATTTCACTGCACTGCTAAGCTGGGGTGCTCACAAAGCCACTGAAATCTAAGAGAATTTTAAAATATAAACAGAGAGTAATTTCTTTCCACCGTGAAGAATTGTCATGAGACCTAAATGAATGTCTCTGGAAACAAATTGCACATACTTTCTGCCTAGCTGGGGAGCTTGCTTAGCATTGTTTCTCTCTGTCCTTGACAGAGGGAACTCCTGTTCCTGTAAGGCAGTGAGCTGAAGTTTCAAGACCTGTTTCTTAAATTTATATTCTTTTGCTTAGAGTTCCCCTCCCCCAGAAAACCTGAATCTTGGCCCGCCTGTCTTACACAATAAATTCAAACATCTGGTGCTCCAACATTCTCCTGATCAGAAGAGGAGGCCAGGTGGGGATGAAGCTGACTCAGCCTGGACCTGTTGGGAAAACAGGCTGGGGCCTGTGAAGAAGTTGGATCAGGTATAACACTGAAGACTGGCTCACATTATTTCTCAAACATTCACTCCTAGCTTTTTTCTACCACCATAATCTCCTAGCCCAGAATAGACTTATCTTTCAGATCTACAGAACCAGGATTTTAGGTCTGGCAAGGGTCTTATTTCGTCATCATCCCTAATTTTGCAGGCTCTAAGAGTGGCTTAAACACCTCAGGTTCATGAATTCCCCTCCCTGCGAAGCAAAGCCACAGTGTTGGCCAATACCTTAAAGCAGGTAGAATAGTTGGCTCACTTGTTAGATATTATCTGCCTGGTGTGTCCTTGTGTGGGTAGAAACCAAGGAATGATGTCTACTTATCTAAGCACTCGATACACACAAACCAGTGCAACTCTACACACCTTCACTTGGTACCTGTTATGAGCAAAGCTTCTAAGTTACCCTCTGAGGGGACAGAGAGCTGATAAGATATAATGCCTGCCCACAGTGTTTATATCGGACAACAAAGCTTGTCTCTCTGATATTAATAGCTACCATTTATTCAGCACCTACTATAGGCTTTGCATTTCATTATATATATTATCTCTAGTCATTTTAACAACTCAATAAGGCAAATAGTATTCTCATTTTGTCAATGTGGAAACTGAGGCTCAAAGAGGTTATGTGATTTGTTCAGGTCAGGCATATAGAGCATCCCTCACTTGTTGATGGCTTGTGTAGGCTGAATGTCAGAAGAAGGCAGAAAGACAGTGGGTGTGCCAAACCTTCCATTCTTGGTTTCACACTGGCCTGGTTTTAAATTCCAGTTCTAACACTGGTGTGGCTTTGGGAAAGCTGCTCTCTGTCTTAGTTTCCTCATTTATAGGTTGAACAAAATAGTCCACTTCATAAGACAATTAGAAAGATGAAATGAGATAACGTGGACATTGCTCATTTCCCAGTATGTTCAGGCACAAAATGACTCATTTTGGTACAGAATGCTCATCCCCTAGATCATGATGCCACTTCCTCAGCAACTTCAGGTTTGTACTGTATTGTTACCTTCTCAGTGAAGCCTTCCCTGGTCACCCTATTAAAAGATCAACTCCATTCCAACTCTTGTTATTTCCTTCCCTACTTTAAAACCAACTAATATATTAAAAATTGTGTTTATTTATTTTTATTTGTCTTGTCTGTCTCCACCCACAAGAAAGTTAAAATTTTGAGCCCAGGAATTTTTGTGTTATTTCTGTATCATCCCAAGCACAAATATATATTGGTTAAAAATATGAATGAAAACAAAACAAAACTCTTGGCACCAAAAGACTTAGGTTTGAATTTAGCCTTTTCCTTACTACCTGTTTTGACCCTGGGTACTTTACTTAAAATATGTAGGCCTTGGTTTCTTCATTTGTAAAACGTGAAGAATAATGATTTCTATTTTTAAGACTGCTGGAATGATTATGTGACACGTGTATAAAAACTGGCACATAGCAAGCGATGGATAGATACTTGCTATTATTATCACTTAAAATAATCTGACCAGTTGTTTAACTTGTCTTTCAATGTAGCTCAGAGCTTTTAGGGTAGGAGAGGAAGAGGCTAAAAACCTCCACGAATGCCCTCCGCCGGTTCAGCCCAATTATTTTTTTGTTAGACTAGTAACAGTTGAATAGATGTGAAATTGCTGTGTTCACATTCTAAGGATGCTGATAGGTCAGGGTTACCATTACCAGGACACTGAGGAAGAAAGGAGGTTGGAGCAGCTCAAATGACTTGCTCAAGATCACTTGCCTCAAAAACCAACATATGCAGGACTTTCGCCCACATGTCCTGCCTTCTGAAACTGTATTATACACTGTCTCTCTTCCAAATTCTCTTCACAGTGTGGGATGGTGTCAGGGCCTGTTGCCCCAGGAGCCCAGTCTTCAGCTTGTCACTATCATCTCCTGCAATTCACATAACTTTTTCGATACTCAGTTTTCTCGCTCACCAACATGGAAAGTAAAACCCACCCCTTACAGCTTCATGGCCAGTATCACCGGCGAGAAAAGCTCTTTGGAAACTGTAAAGCGTTGTATCTATAACCTCTGCAACAGGTATTAAACCTGTTGCAGAGTCCCTTGCTTTCCAGTCCTCGGGAGTCCCTCCAGTCTGCACAGCTCCGGATAGGAAGAAGGATTAACCCCTGCGCGCTTGTCTGGGCGTTTCTCCAGGAGGACGGGGTGGAGTTCCGCCCCTCGGCCTCCGCCCCGCTACCTCCTTTCCCCAGCGCCTGCACTCGCGCTCCGCGAGTCTCTCTCCCGCCCAGGCCCCGGCTGTGCTTCCCGGCCCGGCAGGCAAGGCACAGCAAGGCGGGCGGGCAGCCAGGATGCAGGCCCCGAACAAGGAGCACCTGTACAAGCTGCTGGTAATCGGTGACCTGGGCGTGGGCAAGACCAGCATCATTAAGCGCTACGTGCACCAGAACTTCTCCTCGCACTACCGGGCCACCATCGGCGTGGATTTCGCGCTCAAGGTGCTTCACTGGGACCCGGAGACAGTGGTGCGCCTGCAGCTCTGGGACATCGCAGGTGAGCATTGAGGGAGGAGGCCAGGGGCGGGAGCGCTTTGCTGCTGGTCTCGGGTCCCGCGGAAGCGTGCTGTAGCCAAGAGGAAAAGCCAGGTCTCCCGGGCGCTGCGCCGAATGAAACTTTTCCTAGTGGGTTGGAAACTTGGTTTCAAAGAAAACAAAAAATCTTTCTAGCTCTCGCTGAAACTTCCACCGCATACTCTGGCGCGTGGAGCTGTTGCTTTGACTCCCTCCCGCGCCCTCCGCTGGGATCTTTCTGCCCAGCGCGGGCCTTCCCCAGGGACGCAAAGGGAGACCTATCTGGAGTTGCATTCAGTTCTCATTTTCCGGGCGCGGGCAACCCTACTGGTGACGCGACCCTGAGAGTTGAGCCCGCCCTTCCATGCCTGGGCCGACCTAGGGGAAGCCCCTAGACCGGCTCACCGCGGGAACTGGGAGAGTTCCACGCAAGAGGAATTTACCAATTCCTATCTTCAACCGCTCACTTTATTCCAACTTTCTCCACCCCCAGTTCTACCCTCAGTTAAGCGAATTTGAGGTTCTCTGTTTTGAGGAAGCCCAAGACGTTTCTGTGTACATATGGGGGGTCAAAGTATTCTTTCTCTTTCTCTCTCTGGCTCTCTATTAGAAGGAATTTGTGTATATATTTTAGGGCCAGTTTTGTCTAAAGGTTTACGACATTAACCGTGAAATTTCTTCATTTGACTTTAAAGTTTTCATTAAGAGGCCTGGAAAATGAGAAGCTTCTCCACAATGTTTGACATCGGAATTTGATTCTGAGAGTTTGTACTTAGAGTTAGGCACAGTCAGATGTGAGGATGCAAAGCGTCCACTCCAAGACTGAGTCCCTGGATTGAGGCTATTTGCAACCTGGATATGTCCAACCCCTCATTATAGATCCTGGCTCCGCCACTCGTTTTTGCTCAGTGGATTTAGACAAGTCCCTTCTGCTCAGTGCATCCCAGCTAAGTGGAGAGAGGTTCGACAATGACAGCTCAGGAATCTTCCTGCTCAGAAGTTTTCAGGCTCTTTGGGATTCTGGGATGAACCACTTCAAACATACCCACTTCACCTTTGTTTCACAGGCTGTGGCTTCAAGAACATTTTTAAGTGCTGGACCCAAATTAGCTGATTCTCTTTCAGAAAATAGGTTCGTTTTAGCCGGTGCAGTTGACTGGAAACATTTTATCATGGCTTGAAGCAAGAACAAATGTGGAAAATTTTTGAAAGGGCATTTCTGGTTCTAGGGACTCCAGTGCTCCTTTAATCATCAGCTGCCAGGTCTTATGATAAAACTCTTGGCGTGTGGACAGATTCATGCATTCAGAGTCATCTTCAGCAGTGCTTGTAGCACAGGGGTTATCAGAGGCCAGAAGATGTATATCATCAGCCACTATCTGATTGGACTTTTCATTTAAAAAAAAATGCACTATGAGTCTGTACACTTCGTTGCTGGATTTTAGTGTCTGAAAACTCTTTCAGATGAGAGAAGTTTCCAGGACTCAGATTTAGAAGTAACTTACTGTTTGGAAGGAGTACAGCTGTAATTTAGACTTTTGTGTCAAATGCAGGTGAGGATGTGACTTCAGGCATGTTATATAATGTCCATGGATCTCAGTGCCTAAGAGCCTAAATTCCAGAGTCAAATTGCCTCTCTGTCTGAGTCCTTGTTTTAGTCCATATGTCCTGGGTGATTTTAGGCAAGTTCCTTAACTTCTTGGTCTCAGTTATTTTATCTGTAAATAAGCAGAATGCTTTCTCCCAACCAATGAGAGATAAGTAAACAACAAATGCCATCGAAAGGTGACAGTACCTACTATTTAGGAGAGCAACCAGGATTATTGTTACACTAGCTATTATTTATTTTTTTGAGCATGTATAAATGCTAGGCAAGGAGGATATGATATAAATGTGTGATTAAATCCTAATAAATGATGATTTCTATGTTATCCATATAATCTGTTCCAAAACAGCACCGTTTTTTAGCTTTACTCATATTACAACACACTGTCATGAGCAATTTAACTCCTAAACTTAGAAATGCCTCCTGAGACATGGTTCTGGACAAAGGTTGCTGTAAAGGCTACAGTCACAGAAGCCTGTGTAGACAAGAAGTCTGAGGAGCCTGGGAAAGTCAGTTCTACAGATATGGCCGTGTGCATCATCTCAGTAGGGGAGCTCCTTTGTCCCAGAGCTCTGATGTTCTATGGTAACCTCTCTCTGGCAGCCTCCAGCCTAAAGGCCTTGTAGGCTGAGTTAGAAGTTGGGCAGCAGGCAAAGCTGGTTGGGAGAAGCTAGGCCACTCTGGGATGTCTGGAGCATAGTACTGACATGTTTCAGGCTTCATAGGTACCCCGTAAGGAGTGAGTACCTGTGAAATCCAGCCTCAGCTGTCCACCCACACTTCAGTCAGTTAAGTTTACTTTATTGTACTTTCAAATTCAACTTGTCTCTTCAAACATAAGAATGCTTCTCTCTCTCCTTTGTGTTCAACTCTGGTGTATATCTGGAAGCAACAGGTAGTGAAGGCTATTGGGCCTCACTTTGAGAGAGTTGGGAGTATAGATGAGATAGAGATCTGCGTGTCCAAGCTGGAGGCTGCCAGAGAGAGGTTACCGTAGAACATCAGAGCTCTGGGACAAAGGAGCTCCCCTACTGAGATGATGCAGATCTGAGATGATATCAGATCCATTTTCTATAGAAGGAATCTTAGCTCAGTCTCAATATTCATTTGGTTCAATGCCAAGTCGGACCCCATTTGTCCAACAAATTCCTATGACATAGATCATGTAGCCACTTAGACTCACCAGTCTGATCCTGAAAGACACCAGAAAGTACCTTTCAGGGCTTGTGAACTTGACCTTGAACCCAGTGCAATGAATCCCACAAACTCTATAGGAGACAGCCATCTCCCTGAGTCCCAGTGATTCTACCCTAAAGGAGAAGCTGGGCTAGCTCTGGGTTTAGAAGCTCTTGATAAAATGAGAAAAACTGAGTTACTTTGCCCAAGGCCACACAGCTAATAAGTGGTAGAGCCAGAGCTGACCTAGTTCTGTCTGGCTTGGAATCAAGCTATGTTCTTTATGGCTATAGTCTTGTGAGTGCTTGGTGCATAGGCGACCTACAAGGCTTATGCCTTCTTCCCCTTTAAAGGAGTTACTTTTTCAGTGGAAGGGTTATCTTTGCCTTCTCCTTCCTATGGCTGATCGGTTTTTAGATAATATTCAGTCCCACTGTGAAGACAGTGGAAGGAGATGGAATGTAAATGTATTTCTGAAAATTTGATTCTTGGTTATAGGTTCAATTCTTTTTATAGATTTATCAGAAAAAAGTAAACAAAAAGTTCACACTTGAGATTTTTTTTTCCTACTCCTCTCTAATCTCTAATACTATAATTACTCTATTAGTACTTTCAAAGAGAACTAAACAACTTTCTCTAGAACTCTTGGTGTGCTTTGAGACCTAGCTGAAGGAATGGGAACAGAGTAATAGTAGCTAACATTTCTTAACCATTTATTACAATTGTCCACACATATTTAGTTTTTAATATCTCAGTACAATAGCTGTTTAAGTGGTAGTACTGGAATTTAAAACTTGGCCATTGAATTCAGCACCCAGGTTCCTAACAGCTTTGCTCTACTTCTCACAATTTAAAAATAGAATACTTTAGACATATTCTAAATTATAGATATTCTAAATATATAACACTTGACATCGGGCAAGCCATGAAACTTTGCTGGACCTCAGCTGTCCCATGTATAAAATGGCAATTGTTTGATTTTTCTGTGATATTATATGTTTGTATTATTTATCTCTTGCCATCTCTATCAGTTTTAGTATATTCTCACTGTGCCCAGGTAGTATGTGGTAGTTTATTTCAACTTCTTATTCCAAGCAACTTGGGCAAATTATTTAACTTCCCTGTCATGGTTTCCTGTCTATAAACCAGGGGCAATAGCAGAATCTGCATCTTAGAATTTTTAAAAGAATGAAATGAATTAATTCATGTCAAGCTGTTCCTCATATGTAATAAATGCTGAATATATGTTAGCTATTACTCTTATTGTTTTAATTATTATTACAAACTACGTTTACATACATTTTCCTGCTTAATTTTCTCAGCATAACTGAGGGTATAGATAGAGCAGGTTATGTTAACCCTATTTTATATTAGAGAAGATCAAGAGTCAGTGAAGTAAAGGACTTGCCCAAGGTCACAAGAGCTAGCAAGTGGCAGAGTTGAATAGGAACGGGCGGTCTGCTTAATGCCAACATTATATGTATTCTAGCACGCATATATATGGGCATAGAGTCAGGAGCCCTGGAACACTGACTCCTCACACCAGTGGCTGTGAGATTCATCTAGGTCACAGTGGTGTGTTATTTTACAGATTGGAAGATACTTCCACATTGTGAATTCAACTGAGGGAAGAGTTTGGACTTGATCATCTCTTCAGTATCTATTTCAAAATACTGTACTTCTCCAAGGAGTTTTAGAAGAAGGGTCTTAAATATCAATGTAATAGATCTAGATATGCAGAAAGAGCTAAATTTGGTGACTACTATACCAGGAAAAAGAAAGAAAAGCACATCAAATAGTGGCCACTCTCTGTTGGGCAATGGGCAGTTTATTGCCTTGTTTCTTGCCTGGATAATTATAGACTTTCTAAATACCACACGGACTAACATGATATGTGCTTATGGGTAAATAATGTATACATGGAGCAAAACAATGAACTTTCAAAGTAGGGAGGTGTGGGGAAACTCCTCAGGGCTTCTTGCAGGACAATCATTAGCATCTCCATTTATCATAGATGCATGTACATTAGGCATGTGGGACATGTCTCTTCATCTAGGTTTTAGAGGACTAGTTCTGACAGGAGAGCACATAGTAGCCTGACCAAAGAAAGCTAAGTCGTTTGAGAGGAGGGCATTGGGAAGAAGCAGCACTTATGAGCTTCAAACCTACAGTTCTGCCTTCGTGCGAGCATCTTCTTTATG